GTATTTGAGTTGTATCCACAGAGCTTGGCCATGAACCAGCTGATCTCTTTTTTACCTCCTCAAATGCTGGAGATGGTCCCAGGGAGTTGGGAGGGCAGGGAAAGCCTTTACTGTTCAGACTTTTGAAATAATTGAAAGGACCAACTAATTCATCAACATAAAATGGAGAAACCCAATATAGTTAATATTGGATTATTAATTAGTATTATCCCAAGTAAAAACAAAAGGGATTTTGTTGAAAAATTCTCATAAATAGAGCCTTTTGCAGTTCTAAATTATTAATACATTGACTTATAAACACAGCTCATTAATTGATTAAAGGCCAAATCCCTGATATTCAGGGAAGAATTTCCTGAAATATCTCCAACAGGACCTGGGAAGTTGATGAAAAGTTCTGCTTCACTTTGACCTTGTCCAGCTAATTGGCCTGGTGGTGACTAACACACACACCCTTTGACCAATAGGCTATTATATTTTCCATAGTGTTTAAGGCTGTTAGGCTCAGATGACTGATGACCTTGTGAAAATGCAACATTTAATAAGCATCATTAGCTTAGAGACCTTGGCCACAAGACTTAGTGTTGTTCTTTTCTTTACGGACAAATTCAGCTAGAATCTCTGGATACCCACCTAAAGCTTCATTAAAGTATGTGGAATTACATTTATGATTCAATCCTCTTCTCTTGTGTAAATATAGTCCTTGATCATCAATGTTGTTCCACACATACATGATGCAATGAAGGAAAGCTGTTACAGCCTCCCCCGTCTCAGACATGTATGACCTTAACCTAACACTTGCTTTAAAAATCTCAATTTATTCCTCCGCCCTACCTGAATTCAGATGGTGAACCTGGAACCTCACCTGGGATATCTTAAAAAACATAAATTTTGTATTTTTCATATTGAGAATTGAATACTCCAAATCTGAAATCTAAGGTGTTAAGTTGACTGCAAGAATAGCAAGGGCTAGGAGAAAAAGTCAGTGAGTTTCGATTGAAATTTTAGTGAATAGCTTCTGGCTACATTTTTCAAGGGGAAATTTCACTAAGAACATCCCTTGCTTGTGGTCCAGAGACCAAATGTGAGGGATTAGTATATTTTGTTTGATCATGGATTTTGGTAATGTCTCTAGCCCTTTCCTCCTTGCCACTGGCCATTCTTTGTAAAATGTTCAAGTCGACTGGACTCAATTGAAAGTAAAAAGACAGGTTTCTACCATTTCAGTCCTGCCAGAGGGATAGTGTTTTTCTGGGAACAAAAACACTTTAAGTTACTCTGTGTGTGATGAGAAAACATTTCTCATTAGAAGTTTGTTTTTGATTGAGTGGACATGGGACCAATCTGAGCCAACAACAGATCAGAATGTGCTGGGTTAGATTCGGCGAATGGAGGTTTCCTTCTTCATCCTACAGCTCGCGAGAAACGGTTATTGTCTTTCATTAAGAGAGAAAGGGAAGGAGAAGCGCATGGCACAGCAGAGGTGAAATATTAACATGAAGCCTGGTCAGGACTGAATCCTTGTGACCGTAACTGCTGTCACTTAGTGACTCGGGGTGGAACTACCCCAAGAGCTAAAAGGCTGAAGCTTTTTTTTTTTTTCCCCTTGTAGAATAATCCCCGCTTAAGAACCCTGAGTGTGCATATCCCTCTGAAGATTTCTGACAGCTTGCCTGCCTCGAGGGGAAGACAAAATCGGATTTAGTTCTTGTTCTCTTTTTGCAAATAAATTCCTTCTTGATAAATATGGTTGCCAGGCCACAAGCTAACGTGTAACGTGAAGATCAAATGTCTCTCCCATGTGGGTCTCTATGTATCCATCCACCTCTCTCTTCCTCCCTTGCTCCTGCCCTCCTTCCTTCCCTCCCTCCTTCACCCTCTCCCTTTCTCTCTGATAGAATTGCCTCTCTCAGATAGAATCCCCTCCTGCATTTGTTCACTCATTGACAACTTAGTTTTTTGAGTGCCTACTACGTGCCATACACTGTTCTAGGTTCTGGTGATGTAATGGCAAACAAAACAAAACAGACCATATCTCTAACCTCAAGGAGCTTACATTCTAGAACTCTCTGAAGTTTGATTGAACCTTGGCTCTTCCTTTGCTAGCTTTGTAACTTTGGGGCAAGTTACTCACCCTCTCTGTTCCTCATTTTCCTCACCCACGGAGATAATATTAGTACTTGTCACAATTTAATCCTTTTAAAGGATAAAATGAGGTCATATATGCAAAGTGTGGCTCAGGGTTAGTGCACAGTGCACGGAGTGATTTTCACCGATGCTGTTTGTATTATCATCACATTCTTTCTTTCTGAGGTGCTTATTGCCTCATTGTTTGGTGACCTGAAAGAACGATTTCCTTGGTGCCTATTTTCGGGACCAGGGAGCAAGTAAGAGCCCTCTTAAAAAATGCCCAGGGAGCAGCGGTGGTGAGAGCAGCACACGCCTGCCTGGAAGCGCATCATCCAAGCATGTCTTAGTGCAGTCACCCCAGGTGCCTTCCAGGAAAAAATGAGAGTGAGTACTCTGTATGTTTAAAGAAGTGTATGAGCAAAAACAAATCAAAATGAGTTTGGGACACACTTTGTAAATACAGGTTGAGTATCCCTAATCTGAAAATCCCAAATCTGAAACTTTGTGAGCACTGACATGATGCCACATGTAGAAAGTTCCATACCTAACCTCATGGGATGGGTCACAGTCAAAATGCAGTGAAAACTTTGTTTCAGGCACAAAATTTTTAAAAAATTTGTATAAAATTACCTTCAGATTATGGGTATGAAGAGCATATGAAATATAAGTGAATTTTGTGTTTTGACTTGGGACCCCAAATATGTCAGTCATTATGTATATGCAAATATTTCAAAATCTGAGAAAGTCCAAAATCCCAAACATATCTGGTCCTAAGCATTTCAGATAAGAAATACTTGATCTGTACATAGACCCTTTGCATAGTAGCAAAATCAGATATACTGCTTTTTCAAAGGGAAGTCCAGCCTTTTTCTCTTCTACATTTATAATGTATATCTAGAAGGAAGTAGAATCTCCTCTGCTTTCTAGTAGCCTATTTCCCAGTACCTTAACTCTCTTTTTATTTTGAGACTGAGTCTTTCTCTGTTGCCAGGGCTAGAGTGCAATGGCATCATGTTAGCTCACTGCAGCCTCCAACTCCTGGGCTCATGAGATCCTCCTGCCTCAGCCTCCTGAGAAGCTGAGACTACAGGTGCCATGATACCAAGGCTAACTTTTTAATGTTTTTGTAGAGATGGGGTCTTATTGTTGCCCAGTCTGGTCTCAAACTCCTGGGCTCAAGCAATCCTCCTTCCTTGGCCTCCCAAAGTGCTAGGATTACAGGTGTGAGCCATGGCACTTGGCCTAAATCTTTGATATTAGAGAATGAGGTAAATCATTTCTGATATTTTTTTCAGATATACCAAATTCTACTTTTGGTAGTGTCCTTCTGCCCTATGTGCCTTGCAAATGGCTTTCCTGGTTTCTGCCAAGAACAATCGTGAATCACTAGCTTGGGGTAACTTGTGTCTCTTAACACTATTAATTTTAGGAAAATATTTTCAGAAGCTTGGAAAGCCACATATTTAATGTCGTTTGTCTTTAAAACATCACTGTCCAAGGAAGAAACAATCACCATGCTTTATACATTCATTAAATCAATGACATAGTTTCTAAAATGAAAAGAATGTTTTAAAACCTTTCTTTTTAACCTAGAGGAAAAGTAAATTCAACCTTTTACATTACTCTGCTTTTTAATAAAACTCTAGGTATAGTTTATTCTTAATACAAGTAAGTCTTTTTATTTGTTATTATTAATTATTAAAATTTGCTGCATAATTAAGGTCTATTTTTTGAACCAGTAAATATTGTTGTACAAAGAAGTGTCCATTTTTTTCTTACCCTTAGTTTTTGCTTCTAAATTCGTATTCTTCATAAGTCAAAACAGTCCACTCAATCCTGGGGTGACAACTTCATTTTTGGTATTCTGAGTGTGAAACCTTGACAAAGGTGTTTTTAGATTTTATTTTGGTTACAACTCTTGTTTTCCTTTTATTCACATGCACTTTGACCTCCATCAGTATTTCTTTAAAAGAGGCTTTAGCCCCTTCACTGTTTACAGACCAGGTATGCGACTTTGAGCAGGTAATTTAGCTTCTGAAGGTCTTGTTCTCTTCACAAGCAAAGTAAAGGGCTGAACTTCATGATCTTTAAACCTATTGAATCTATTCAAATCCATTTCTTTTTCATGATAACTAGAGTATGTGAGACTTGGTAATAAAAGTACTAAGGCTTACTCTGTAACCAAAGTAGAAATAAGTTTCATTACTCTGAGTAATTAAAAAGACCTGAACAATGAAATGCCCTTGACACTGAGATTAAACCCACACCAGCCTAATTTGCCTTTGGTATCTTGGAAGACATTCCAGGTTACTGGAAAACTTCAGGCATGGATGGGAACGTTGTCCTTCATTGGTACAGACCACAATATTAGACAAAAATCCTCTAGGCTTTTTTGTTTTTAATTCTCCAACCAAATTCCAATATCAACACATGTTCTTGTGATCTGTTTCTATCTCATCAAGTATAGAACAGAAAGAATTAAATGATATCCAAGTGTTCTGGTTATCAGAGTTTCAGATTAAGAATCTTTATTTTGTGGATTCTATAAATGAATAATTAATGGGTAGTTAGATCGTATTCAGAAAGGAGCATTTTTTTTTTCTCATGTAAAGGCAAGAGAGGATATTGCATATACTGATCCAAGTGTACTAAATTGATGATAGAGGGAATGACTGCTGGTTGGGGACCAAAGAAATTGCTTTATGCTGACTGCAATGAGCACAGGGGTCCTTTATAATAAGATTATGTCCTTATAAATTTTATATCATTTTTTTGGATTGGCTCTATTATTCTGTACCCCTAGTATAAGGTAACCTATTGTTCTGTACCCCCAGTATAAGTGAACTGCTGAGAATACTTTGTCAGGCTCTTACCTTGAAGAAGGTCATCGTTGATCCATCTCTGACTGCCCCATATTCTATCTTGGTTTGCTTTGCCAGATCATCTGCTGAATCTATGGGGGATTCCATTCTCTCTACTGTCAAAAAGGCAGCCAGATTGGCAGTGTAGGATGAAATGATGATTAGGGTGAAAAACCACCATATCCCTCCAACTATTCTGGTCGATAGAGCTTTGGGCATCAGCTCTGATCCTGTGATGGTATCATCAGAGTAAGGGTGTTAAACACAGTCAGAAGGAAAGGGAAGACTTATAGTTAAACACTATTGTAGGAAGATAAGCCCATTAAAGACTTACTATCCTGTATGTAGATAATATAAATGAATTTTCTAGGAAATGGAGAAAAATCTAAATGATCCTCTTTCAAATCATGAATGATTACTACTGGTTAAAATGTAATTTGTCAACAGTTGACAGTATTAAAATGGTTTTAATGCTGAGATATTCTACACCTAAAATTTAGTTTTTAGTTGCTGAAAATTGAAAAGTCAATTCCAAGGCTTTTGGCCCTTTATTATTGCCTAAATGCCTCTTGTAATATGAAGTAAATGTTCTACATCTTTGTATAACTATGAAAAGCTTTGAAATGCTAACATTTCTATTTAAGTTTAAGGAATGGGAGAAACTTTCAAAAGATTTACATATTATGCCATTTGTCACATGTGCTTTAATAAAACGTTGGAATCTTACAAGTAAAATGAAGATACAGCCATCCTTGACAATGGATGAATAGTTTTTTATAGTTTTATGTTACTTTTACAGTTATAATTATTTTTTCTAATGTAGATTCTTATTTGGCTAAAAGAATACATTCCCTGAAAAGCATAATTTTGTCCTTAAAGAAAATACTATTTCTTATTTATACTTGAAAGACTGGCTGTTTCTGGTGGGAAGAAGACCTTCCTGGTAAGATTATACATTTTAGATGTCATTCAGATGGTTACTAATTATTTCTTAAAAATAACATAGAGGCACTTAATGTATTTACCAATAAAAACCTTCCTCTCTAAAAGAAATGGCTCATGGGCTAAGTTTACTTACACAAAAGACAAACATCTTAAAATGACTTATCTCAATTTTGGTCAAACTGAGCTGTAGAAGTCTATAAATCCAGCAGCAGAATTAAAAGGGATGAGAAGTCCAATTAGAGTTCACTGCAATTGTACTGATCTGTGAATGGATTTTGGCTAGTCCACTTGCCTGAAATTCACAATCAGTCTGTACTTAGCATTTCCTCCACAAACCTGAAGTTATGACGGAGTTTATGTGACCAGTTAAAAAGTAGAAGAAAAACATTCTGAATTTGAAATCCCAAAGAGTGAAGTACAGCAGCTCAAATATCTGGTCTACAGTATCTTTTAGCTATACTGATAAGGTGTTTCAAAGTTTTACAGTTTATAATGGTTTAAGATGGAAAGGAAAATTGAAGTTCACCAATCTACCAATAAATGAGCTTATGCTCAGTTTTAATCTATAAACAGATGCACGTATGGCTCATGAATCAAAGCCAGCTCAAGGCTAGTGATAAGCAGATCAAGGTTAGTAGAGTTTCTGGGCTTTGAATTAACAGATCTATTCTCCTAATGCTGTTAGGTATCTTTGTGCTTTATTTCTTTTTAATGAAGTAAATGGTTTGAGTGCAGTTTGTATTTCCTTCTGTTGTTTGTTTGAATTTGGGTGTGTAATATTACACAGATTCATAATGGTTCCCATTAAATTGCCTCCAAGGATTTAGTGGAATAGTTTGCTGCTGTTGTTTTAATACTGTGGTTTAATGGGATTTATATGCCTGTGGGTGTGTGTTTAATGCCCAAGGTTGTTTCATATCTTTGTACTTAATTGATCTAGCAGCCTTGTGGCAATGTGATATTATTTTGGCTCTTTAGTTGGTTATCACTAAAATGACGTTTATTTCATAAAATAGCCATGGGAAATAAATAACACAGTTAATAGATATATTTTTCTCAGCTTATAGGTACAGAATTTCTACTATAAATTTATTCTTATGTTATTTGGTTTCATTTATGAAAAGATAAGGTTTTAGCTTATTTATACATTTGCATAATTGCGTTTTAATAGTATATGACAGTAAAACTGGACAGGAAGATGAACAACCAACTGTTGATATGTAATAATATAAATTCCCATCTTTCATACTTTAAAATGCATGTTTATATTTTTGGATGAAGTTACCTAAAATGTAATCAAAATATTAATAGAAACCTACTGAGATTACATTTTAAACCCTTGGTAGATGGTAACAGTTATTAATAAATTTCTCAATGTTTCTTAATGTTTTCAATTTCCACACAATTGTGTGAATTTCATGACTCTCAGTGTTAACTGATTTACTTAGAAATGGCTTCATTCACGTAGAGATGATATGTGTAAGTTTGGTACTCTAGAGGATGAAGTTATGAAAGCAATAAAGGTAGAGTAAAACATCATTAGAAAATATTCAGGATGAGAGACAATACTTGCTGAAGTCTCTTTAGTGCCTTTTACGGCAGACATGACAGCCAATCCTGATCCAGACTTTGCTCACGCTCTGCAGAAAAGAGAAAGTCTGAGCATCACATTAAAAAAAATTAAACAAAATAGTTTCCAATTGAGCACAGTGACAAGCTTCTGCTAACAAGAGAGGATAGCATGTTCAAGGCCACATGCTAGAGACAGATGCACCAACAGTCACAAGCACCACAAGTTTGTTCATGGAAACATTTGTTGCACCTGACAAATATTTGTAAACTTCTTGGAAGACAAGCAGAGTCTGGTTGGGGCTGACTGTCATGTACCCAAGGTAGTGGTAACTAACAGACACTGCATCCCACAGTTTGCTGTGGGTGATGGTAAACTCCAAACAGGCAGAAGATGAAAAAGAAGTTTTGGGGGTGGGTGTCCTCACACGACAGAAGGCAGTCACAGTCATATACCTGCACAGACCTGCGGCAGGCTTTGTGAAACTTAAATGTATATATTTTTCCTATTCTAAAAACTGGAGATGGCAAGATATAGGGATGGGTGTCTCCTTTACTCTGAAAGTAATTTTTCTCAAGATAAATATTCTAAAATTTATATGCACTGGTAAAATAGCATATGGCTTCTAATGGGGTTTATTGCAGGATTTATAACTCTGTGATATATTTTATGCAAGTGATTTCTAGTAAATCAGGTGATGTCTGTGCCTAGTTAGTAGTGCCCACACAAACTGTGTTTAATTGTATAACAGATGATTTGCTCACTTTCCTCAACTATCTGATATTTCCACACTAGAGACTCTCTCTCTAATCTGAAGACCCACAATATAAACATTTCAAGTAGTATGGTAACAACTCTCTAATGAGAAACCTCAGGGTCCACCCCCAAATAGCAAATGTGTTTAATGTATATCCCAGTTGAATTTTCCTTTGCCAATGTGTTTTGCAGCTTGCAGTCAAATGAGTAGATACTCTAAACACAACAGCATCTGTGACTTATGATTTTCTTAAATTAATGCATTTAATCTTGGAAGTTTTTCTATACCATATGCCTGGAATCAAAGCTGAAGAAAAATCCACAAAAGAGATGGATTTTTTCCAAAGTTTAAAACAATTTCTTTCTTCCCCCCCCAACCAAAGTAAAATCCCCCAAATCATAGAAAACGTATAAAAGAGATCACATTTCTATGGTTGAATTTTAGTTTCCCAGCCCCTACAGTTTATTGTTGCTATGGTTACCCATTGAGGGAGAGTGTGAAATGGCACTGGGGGGGCTACGATGAATCTCAGTAGGGTTTGTCAGAGTGGTCATTAGGTGGAAGTTCTAGGTACTGTCAGTAATTGGAAGAATATAAGTGAACTTAATCTTCAAAGGATTTAAATTCCACTCCTTTTAAACCTCTGGCTTATGGAGTTATGGCCAAAAAGGAAAGGACTGACATCTCCATCTATGCAAGTTTGTAAACAATTTCTAAGGCACTTTATCCTTTGCTACCCAGGGGAAAATTTGTATTCATTGCTTGATAAAAGTGTTTTAGATATGCAGCAAGGGAGTTCCATTTAGGTTATATTTTTTGCTTTTTCTTTGTCTCCAGAACTGGCTAGAAAGTCAAGTTTCTATTTTTTTAAATTGCTGAGATGGTGTTTGAGCCTACCCTCTAGCTTCACGGTGGAGTTTACCAGCACGAAAGCCTGTCAGCAGACTGTGGGATGCGTGCGACAAACATGGGCAACCGGAGTACCTTGCTGCATGAGAGCTCCAACTCCAAACCAGAAACTGTTTAGTAAAGTAAAATTGTTTTCCACCACATCTGAGTCAGGGTTGCACGGGTGGGGGTTATACCACTCATAGGGTGTAAACCTGTGGTAGTTAACAGAAACAGTCTGTCAATATCAGATAAACGCATGGGGGCACCGACGAAACCCGCTGAGCAGAGCAGAAACCTCAACAGTTAATGATGAATGCTTCATACCAAAAGAGGAAAGGCCGTATTCATAAACTTACAGCTTTGGCAGACAAAGTGCAAAGAAAGAGCCTTGAGGAACTGGTATTTACCAGACTTCTTATTTCTAGGCAAAGCCCATTGGTCAGCTGGAATTGTTCTCCTCAGATCTACGTCTTCTGAGTTCTCATTCATTTCCAGTTTACTAACCAACTAGATGAGCTGTAAAGAAAGGTTCACTCATCCCAAGTATTCACCCCACCAAGTAGCTATAAGCATGACAGACACACACTTGTTGCATGGGAACTACAGTGTCAAGATACCGTGCTGCTAGGTCCTTGGGGAGACACAAAGAAGAGGGATGACTTGCCTTCAAGGAGTTTCTATGGACAGATGCTGAGCAGGAAACTAGGTGGTCTAGGAAATTTGCAGTGTATCAAAGGGACTGGCTGCAAGGCTAAAAAATATTAGGGAACAAAAAGAAGAACTGGATTTGTGATGTATTGGATATTTTTAGGATAATACGTGGGAAAATATCATAATCCTTAAATGATAAAACGAAGTTTGAGTTTGGAAGTATTATGACCCAGGCCTACTGGTACCTTAGTATTAACTCCATAGCATGCCTCACTGGAGAATTTTAAGTTCATAATTTGCTATTGATTTGTCTTTAATATAATTATTTTCAGAACTATGGCCTGTGGTCACTTAATCACCAACACTGCTTCGGTAAGTAATATATTTTCTACAGCATTATCTTAGGTCTACCTACCAAGTGGTGAGCCACTGGCAGCAACATTTTCTGGAAAAACAACTGTAGTCTAGGAAGTTGACCTTGAGCAATTTACTCAACCTCTCTGGCCTCAATTTCCTTATTTGAAAAGAGAAGGGAATCCAGGTATCTTTGGGGGTGGGAGGCAGTGGTGGTACTTAAAATGAAAATCTGTGGAACTGAATACATTTTTGGTTCTTTTCCTATTTTCTAAACATCTATCTGACCTATGTAGCCCAAAGAATATCTCTGCTCTGTGGTTATTTTGGGGAGCTATCTTGCCAAGCAGTGCTTATTTTTCCAAAGAGGCGTTGGCATATACTCAACAAAGTGATCTGGAAATGATTTCAAATGTAGTCATTCTTAGCACTGGAAGCTTTGCCATTTGCCATTGGGTTCTTTGAATGCAAGCAGGAGTGTTAGAGTAGCGTTAAAACACTGTAAAGCCAATGAGAACATATGGAACCCTTTCCAGCCATAAGGTTTCAGCAGTAAACAATAACAGGTTGCTGGTCCAATGGGGAGAACTGGGCTTGAGGTGAATACATTATCTAAAGCGAAGAGCAGGGCACACTGTGAATTATGCAGAAGGAACTGGGCAGACAGTTCATCTTAATGAAAAACCATTCTCCAAACCCCTGGACACCTTCTGGAAAATGTACAGTGCCTCCTTATTGAGTCTTAGGGGAACTGGGAAAACAGCCTTGTGGTTTATTCCACTGTAATGGGATAAACCCGACTCATTACTGTGGCTTCTCCTCAGCTGCAGGGTGCACCGTGCAGGTTCCTACAAAGCTTATGAATAGAGCTTTAATTGACAATGCCATGCCAATGCATTTCAATTAATGTTTAAACAATATAATTAAGTTTTGAATTTATACACTCTTATAACCATAGTAGTTTGCTGAGCTGAAGAAATGAATACCAGTATTAATGAACCTACTAATTGAAACAGTATGCAGAGTAAAGATGCTGTTGCTTAAACAATATCATTGTCACTCATACAATAATTTAAAAATATTAATTACAACAAATTAGGAGGCTTATGCATTCGAGAGAAGGTTTTTTTTTTTTTTTTTTTTCCAAATAGACCATAAAACCTGGCAACCACCAGCCCCCTGATATTCTGGCATTTTCCCCCTAGACATGCTCCCATTAATGAGCTCACTACTTCCCTCCTTGGGAAGTACTTTTAACTTCATCTTGTTTCCATATTTCATACTTCGCACTTATAAGTGAGCAATTAATCTAATTTTTTTTTTGTGGCAAAAAGAAAAGCTGTCTAAATACCAATGTGATTCTGCCTGCTCTGCAGAGATATTTTAGGTTCTTTCTCTTCGGGATTCTGAGTGACTTGGGGAGCGTGAGGACTGGTGAATATTAAATGATGACATGATGTTGTGCTGTAAGACATTGGCTTTTTATAATGCAATAGACCTACCTGTGCCTGGATGTAGATATTTCAGCTTGGAATTCCTAACACCTGCTTAAATAGCCAGTGTGACAGCAATGTCAGCATCAGGCAGTCTGGGGAAAGATTAATATATGACCTACACCTCTAATAATCTGAAACTGCTATCCCCAAATGACTCTCAAGAAATTGATACTGGTCTTTAGTAAAATGTTACAGAAAGGGAAAAATGTGTTTAGAAACTATGTGATTTGGAGTTTATGTTTATATATGCCAGGTTTATAATGGAATGGAAGATATAAAATGATCCTCAAACTGAAGTTTTCTAATTAAACCTTTTATGTCTGAGAGTGGACATTGGGTTGAATTGAGGAGGGGGAAATCATTCAAAAGAAATGCTCTATCTGAACTTGTAATGCAGTGACTGGGTTTGTACCATAACCTTAGAATTTGCTTTCTAGAGTATCTTTGCTTGTTATTTATTTATTGTTTTGCCAAATGACAACTTAAAAAATGTCCATTTTAAGAAGATAAACATAAATCATAAAATGTAAGCAGGCATTCTATCAGGACATTTGGTCTATTTAAATTGTATTTATGATGGACATAATTCCTTAGTGCTAGATATTTTTCAAAAAGTAGGAAAAAATGTCAACTACAAAGCTAAAACCCAACATATACACTTATTAAAAGTCATAGTAATTAATTTTTTATATTATTTTCCTTAATATGACTCATTAATATCTATAACTTTATAAATTTAATTCAGGTTAGTGAATGGTTTTTAAGCTTAGAGGCAATGATGGAGCTTTATTTTTCCCCTTTAAGAGAACATAAAAGGATACTTCAAAACATAAATGCAAAAGCCTCTCTAGAGCTAAAGATGATTATGCAATTAACTGTTTTTTATTTCTATGTCACTAGCTTTGACTACAGACTACTAAGATGCTAACCAAAAATCATTTTACATCTTAGCTTACAGGTGCAGAGAGATTGAGTTCAGGGTCTCAAACCGTCACAGTGGGAAGTAGAAATGAATTGGCACACCTATTCAACTAGAATTTTGTTTTGGGGAATCACTTCTGAAATACACTTCATGGCTTTATAAAGTAGAAGCAGGGATGGATTCCAATGTGTAGAGAAAGTGAATGCAGTTGAGAGTACAGTCTCCGTGACAGTGCACCTGTGAACTGCAGAGTTATTGTCTATATTTTTATATTTTGTGTATTTTATCATCATGCTGTTTGCAAGTCTGCATTAATCACCTCCCAACCAAGACCCAGTGCAAGAAGACAATGGAAGGGGAGATGAGGAGAATGAGCTAAATAAGGAAGGGCTGGTTTATAGATGGTACTGTCAGTGAGTAGGGAATACTGAGTGGACTGCATTGATGTGTGTGTGTGTTGGAGGGTGCTGCTATTTTAGTGCAAATAGAATGTGTAAAGTCAGAAAGTGTAGAGGTCTGGGTCACCAAGAGCTTATGGTATAAGAGACAAACAAAGAGAGGAAAACCACTGAATGTTACACTATTCTGACATATTCTCATGAGAAAATTAAAGTGATTTAAGGGTACCTTAAAAGGTCAAGTGTAAAAGGGTACTTTTACTTTGTAAAAGGGTACTCAGCCTATGTGCTGGTGAAACTTTCAGATGCTGCTGCTATGTTTCTTCTCCCACTTACTTTGGTCAAGTCACTATAATAAATAACCTATTTGCTCATCAACATTGTGTTTCCTGTTCTAATCATCAGCACCACTGCCTAGACAGAGCCACAGACTGGCATGTATGGAAACTCACGTCTCTGCTTGGATTGTTCTACTGGTCCTAATATCACCCAACAGGTGTTGGCCTCTAGGCAGAGCATACAACAACAAATTAACACAAGATTGCTTGTTAGAGGGTACTTCACCTTAGGATAGTCATTCCAGGGCAACATTACCTTTACTTAGAAGCCAATAATGAGAAACATACCTCCAAAGGTGAATAATTTATTTTTTCTTAATTTGATTTCCAAAGCAATATTTTCTTTGATTGTTTCTAGCATAGTTTCTCAATCTTGGCACTATTGACATTTTGTAGTGGGTAATTCTTCATTGTGTGTGTGTGGGGGGGGCACTATCTTGAACATTTTTAGATGTTTAGCAGCATCCCTGTACTTTATCCACTTGATATCAATAGCACTCACCACTCCTAGTCGTGACAACCAAAGAAAAATGTTTGCAGACATTGCCACATGTTCCCCAGGGACAAAATCTCTCCCAGTTGAGAACCACTGATCTACAGCAGGCATACTCAAACTACGGCCTGTGGGCCACATGCGGCCCGCTGGGGACATTTATCTGGCCTGCCGGGTGTTTTTGCCTCTGCTACTTGTCCTGCTTAGCAGCTGACTTGTCCCGGGCCCACAGTGTGCATGTGTGGAATGTGCACCGCACTCTCCAACGGCCCTCCAACGGTCTGAGGGACAGGGAACTGGCCACTGTTTAAAAAGTTTGAGGACCCCTGATCTAGAGTATTAAAGTATCAGAGGATAATATCACTATACATACTCTCAATATTTTATTTTCTGAAATAAGACATATGGCAAGACAGATTTGGTCCCTATTTAAAGTATGAAATCTGGGATTTAGTAATGTTACATTTTATAAGGTGTAGAGAATTTCAAAACATTCCTTTCATGTTGAATATATAAATATCCACATGTGAGAGCACAATTTATTCAGGTTGGTTATGTCTGCCTTGTGAATCTTTAAGACCTTTCCAGCCTTGGTTATTTTTCCAAGCTTCTTTATAATTACACCAGGGAAAGAGTTACCTAGCATTAATCAAAACCAGACAGTGGACAATGACAAAGAGCTAGCATGAAGAAATATTTCTCTTAGAAATTCCTAGAGGGAAAACAAAAATTGATTAGGGAAAAAGTTCACTGAGTTTTGTTGAAAGGTGAAAAGATTGAAAACAAGTAGGAAACATACAGAAGCAATTATTTTTTTATGCGGTTTATCTAGGGATAGCAAATGTTTAAGCCAACAGAAAGATAAAATAGCTGTTTCAAATTCAACATAAAAGGTATTTAGAAAATATGATCTACTAAGAGGTATGAAAATCTCTTAAGGAATTGTATAGAGCAGAGTGGTTAAACATAGAGTTAAATCTCAAAAAATTAAACCTCAACTGAATCATCATAATGGTAGCATAAACATTTCATGCCTCCAGGCTATATCCATAAGCAGTCTTTCCTTTCAGCTTTATTTCTAGCATTGTTAACTCTGTAATGTTCACGAAAATAAATTTCATAGAATTTTCAAAGTATTTTTCTTTATTCCTGAGGATTTCACAAAATTTTTATTCCAATGTCTTTTATTTGATATGACAATGCCTAGCTAACTTTTTTCCTGCTTTGCATATCCAAATGTTCCAGGGGTTAAATATCTTGAATATTTTATTATTCCTATTAAAACATTTTAGATGGCTTGTTAGGTAAGCCATGGCTTTCGTTGTAATAAAACTCAGAGAAAATGGATAAAGAACCATTTTATTTTGCTCGGAATATGGATAAAATTAAACTAATCCTAAATATTTTTTCCTTACTCTCTTTTAAAAGTAACTGTACAAATAATTATTAATAGAAGACATTCATTTACTGAGTGGCTTTTATGTGAAAACCTTGAGAGGATAGAACATTAGGCAAAACTAAAAGTGCACTTCAAAGTTCTTAATTTTTGTCTACTTCTAGAACATACAGAAATCTGAGGCCAACCTACACCTGTTGCTACGAATTCAGTAGTTCTTGAACTTACCTTGCGATCACAAAGAGTACACAACTGACTCCCAAGCAGGCTAAGAGCACATACATCCAAATATCTGGAGACAGGGGGTTGAGGAAGGAGAAGACGCCTGGGTTGGTACCATTGGGTTTCCGGTAGAGAATGCTGATGCCCAGGGTCATGAATGGTTTGGAGAAGTCGATGACTTTCTCCCGCACGTAGGTGATGGTTAGAGGAGCCACTGCCAAGTCAGCTTTCTGCAACACAAGTCCAAAACACAAGTGAGGTTAGTTTAGCTTTTTAGCAAAAGTCTGGATTGTTCCTGAGCACCTCTGATTCCTATTCTCAACTCCAAATGCTTCTCACACAAGCAGCTTCTGTGGTGATTGGCTCTCATACAAAAACAGTCCATTTACACAGTTATGCTTATGAAATAGTATTTATCAGCAAAGAGAAACCAAAAGTATAAAACACACACACACAGGCATATATTCATCATTCTGGAACTAAATGAAGAAAAAAAATGCAGAAGGATGTCTTTATAAAAGGCATGTGAGAAAAAGAAGAAACAAACAACTCAGTCATAATAGTTGACAACATGAGATTTTTCTCTGAGCTGAAGACTTCAGTATTGTTAATTTAAGAATCACTCAGGTTTATTCTTCAGTATAAAGGATGGAACCATAAATTTTTATTGTCAATTTTTACCCTTACTTGCTTTTCTAAGTAAGCAAACTCCATTTTTAGGTTGTTTTCTAATTTTTTTTTGAATTTTTTTTTATTTCAGCATATTATGGGGGGTACAGATTTTAACGTTTCAATAAATGCCCTATACCCTCTCCCCACACAAGTCTGAGTCTCCAGCATGACCATCTCCCAGATGGTGCACATCTCTAATTTTTTTTAAACCATTTTTATGATTCAAAAAAGAAAACATTTCTTCTGACACCATTTTTTTTCTCTTTTCATTTACTTCCTCTTATTATGCAATTTAAAAGACACATTAAATGTTTTTCTGCTTACATGATCAATGAGTTCTTTAACCATCCCATTCCACTCTCCTTTGTCATTTTGGGCTCCATATTTGCCATCAGGGACTAGTTTAACATCATAAATAAAACCCAGGATGTTTGACAGTTCTTTCAACAGATCCAGGCAATATCCTTCAAATCTGTCATTTCCATACAGGGGCTTATCCGATTTCCTGTACATCACATAGGGCTCTTCCTAAATAAAACAAACCAAATATGAAAACCCTGTTATAATGAAAGGAAGATCTTACTCCATCGGCAGCCTGAAGGTATAAAATATTTTAAAATGATTTTGACAAGTTGAGAGTACTGAAGTCAGTCACCCACTTTCCTGCCTACATCCTCTACAAATACAGAACACTTCATATATTATTTTTTCTTTTCCTCCTGCTTCTTTGGATGAGTGCTTTTCCATCCCCTGCTGGGGGTGGAGCTGGGAGTGAACGGTGTGATAGAGACACAGCCACATTCAGACATGGGTCTGAGAAGAGAGCAAAGCTCAGGGGGCCATGGGGCCCAGATGCCTGGCCTCCCCGCTGTGCCTATACCCAAGCATCCTTCCCATGAACCTTCCTCCTTCCTGGCTGTTGTCTAAGAGCCTCACCTTAAAAAAGAGAAATCTAAATCACCAAATAATATCTCCTCTTATTCTTCAAACTTTCCTATCTACTGACTATTCTCATTTCCTCATCTAAATTCCATCTCATTTTCACTATTTGCTTACTGTCTATTTATTTTGGTTGACTTTCTTCAGGGTATCCTATTCCAAAGGTCATTTGTATACCTTTTATCATCAGTGGTTCCATTTCTTATATGAAATCACCTCAAATTTCACATGTGGACACTCTTTGCTTATGTGCTTACATAATAAATGCTCATCCTATAAATAATGGGCTTCTACTATCATGGATCTATAACCTTACTAATTCTCATTTGATTGAATGAAAGTTCATTTTGTTTTATAAAATTATAATAGTTATTTTACTGCTGACATGTTCTTTATAGGTAGGTTTACCTTCAAACTGATAGTTGAGTCATGCCAATACAATAGAAAACTCTATATTTCCATAATACAGTTGCAAAGAAAGTAATTACCAGAAGAACAAGCGTTTTCATTTTAGATGAACAATTCCTTATAAGTTAATGATTTCAAAAATAAATTGATTGGACTTTATGAACTGAAATAAGGCAGACATATCTGCAAGTGAAGATTTCAGACAGTTCTGCCCCTTTCCCACCACCCTTGGGAAAGGAAAAGGAGGAGGAGAAACAACCGACAGGTGTCCAGTGGCTGGATGGTGTATGATCAGTGTTCCAACAGGAGGCAGGGCTTTTGAAGAGCAGTTAATTAAAGGGCTATTTGCCAGAGGTGTTAGCAGAGCAAAGGGAGCCAAGGGAGGTGGGGTGAGATTTTGGGGCAAGGTATAAGCATAGAGGGAACAGCCTCATCAGGAAGCCCACACTGCCCAGGGCTGAGGCGAGAGTCCTCCAGAGCTTCTGGGCCCCAGAAGCGAGGCCATTGACAGAGCAGGGGCTACTGTGGAAGGCCAGAGGCTCTGACAAAACCACTGGGTGGCAGTTGGGAGGGGACTGGCATAGACTTCTTCTACTTCTCTTCTCGTATTCATCTGGTCTTTTTGTCAGAGTCTCCTTGTGGTTGAAGCCAAGCAGCAGCTAGAAAGCAAGGAAGACCAGCTGGGTGGGGACACAGACTAGGGTATGGATTGAAGGTGGGTATCTCTGGACAATGTTGGAAGCTTGAAATTCAGTTCTATTATAAGTATAGGCTTTTAGTGCCCCATATAAAAATAGACAGAACTGTGGGTATGAAAAAGACAGTAGAAAAATCAATCAGAATCTAGGGTAAGAGATAAGACAGCCAGAATTCCACAAAGTCCACTTACCAGAATGGTGGTGACAATGAGTGTTCGGTTGGCCAGTGAATCGGTGATATTGTTGGACCTGTCTTTGTTGCCGTCTGTCATGTTAAGCCCACTGTTGGAATTCCAAATCCCAATCTACACAGAACACAGTACATCAGAGGCTGCTGGCTGCCAGTGATGGCATTTACACTACACCAGGAATGGGCACGAAAGCTCACAGTTTGGAATATGAGAGACTCACAGTAGAAGCTACTCAATGAGGGAAAATGAAACAATGGAGGAATAAATGTGTAGGTGAAATAGGAGAAATCTGTGCTATCAGGGGCATGATGGAAGGGTCTCTTTGTGTTTTATTTATTAAGCTCATTATTCTTTTTTAAATTAAAAATGTTTAAGAATTCTTAAATGAATGTCAGATTTTTCTCCCAATATATATTTGTTGAGCATCTACATATGAATCAGGGACTATTCTAGGCATTGGAAGACATAGCAATGAATAAAACAGATGAGAATTGCTGCTTTTGTGGAGCTTGCATTCTACTGGTACAAACCTTCTGATGCCAAAGTGGGATCATCAGTATCTTTAAAATTTATGAATAACAGGATGGAAGGAGCAAGGTGGATGATAGAAAGATGGGGTATCAAAAAGAGAAAGATAAATGGAAGAAAACATGGATGAGAAGTAGACTACGTTCTAGGCCTCTCTTCATTGAGGAGCTGATGCTAGGCAGGGTATGCCTCTCGCAGACCCTAGTAGGGCTGTATTCATACCTCTGTCAGACCCTGCCTCTTCTGCTATTACCGTCTGTTTACCTGTCTTCTCTGTACACTTGGCCATGAACTTCTTCAGTGATAGTACTCACTTTTATTGTTCATTGTTCTTTCTATCGCAGAATGAACCATGGCTATTGGTATTCAATAAAGCCTATTACTCTTTTTGAAAGTAACAACCCACATTTTTCTCCAGTGGCTGAGTCACTCTTGGGTTATTAGGGCCCTGCAGAAGTATATTAATTTTTTTAGTATCTGGGGAATCCCAGGAGAAGAGCCTTAGGGAAATGAGCTATTTGAATCCTTCTGTAGGCATTTAGTGCCAGCCTCATGCAGAGCCATGCAAGGGTGATTCAGAGCTCTGTGTCCTTGAACAAGATGCTATCCTTTCTGAGCTTCGGTTCTCTAAGTATGAAGTATTTTATAGACATAATGAGAAGATCAAATGAGATGATGTATGTGGAAGTGTTGGTGTGTGTTAAGAGTTGCACATATGATATTAACAATAATAAAAGACATTCAAATGACTGCCCCAGTAATTTCTTCAAGCTTGCCCTGTTGTGAAAGAATTTGGTATCTTTTTTTTAATCCATAAGCTAATAAAGTAAAAGATTTATGAAAAAGAGGGGCAGTTTGGAAATGAACATTAACACTTGAACATACTTTAAGATGGACAGGGTGGATCTATGCTTGATTCCTAAATAGATTCCTCCAATGGGAAGGCGAGCAGGAATGTTAGGCTCTGTCCTTCTTTGATTTTCTATTTCTTTGCTTTGATTCACCGCCTAAATTCACCAACTGGAAATTCATTTAGCTGGACAAGTATTTTTTAGAGACATAAATGCTTTGAGGAAGTTTCAAGGACTATACCACATTCACACAATAGTGTAAACTACTTCAATTTCACTGTTTTTTTCTATACTCAGTTAGGGTTAGTTGACTGGAGAAATAAAGAGGTCTAGATAAATGGGGGTATGGAGGTAATTTTCGCACTTGAAAATATTATTATCTTGCCTGAAAAGAGATACTTATTGGGTTATTGGCTGGCACCTTTAATAACCATTCAGTATTTCCCTATCTAATGTGATGACCGTCACCTAGAATGTGCATTATATATCTGTTGATTGAGGATGATTCAGTTTTCTTTGGCTGGCCTTAAATCTAGGAAAGGGGGCAACATTTTCTTCCCTTTCTTCTCAATTTCTACCCCTTCTTCCACTATTTTGAGGCAGGGGATTCTTGCTTCTAGGAAACATAATTCAGGCTAAATACATCTGACTATTGGTTTTCATCCAAAGCTGTGCTTTAGGTTGTGGCTCCTAACTCCATGAAGACTGTGTATAAACTGGGCCCAGGCAATACTTCTAATTAGCCTTGACTTAGGCACCAAGAAGAATGGAATCTAATTTTTAATTAGATAAGTATTGAAGGGTAGATAAAATAACTGTTTTTAGCCACTTTCTTAAGTAATAGAATGTGTTTTCTTTAACTTATTTTAATTAATGTCAAAGATATGTGTGTTTAAAGGAACTATACTAATATTTGAAAACGACAGTGTTGAATGGCCCAGAAACACCATTCTCTTCTAAAATAAAACTTGAACTTGTAGACAAATACACCCCACTGCTTGGTTTCTTTTGTCATCTCCACTGAAAGTGTAAAAGGTAAGAAATCATTGCTGCTGCTGATCCAATCAACTAAGTCTCCAAGTCCCATTCAGGGTGAACTTGCTTCCTTAAAATGAGAAAAAGGTGGCTATTTTTTTCCATTCTATCTGTATAATAGACCAGGGGTCCTCAAACTTTTTAAACAGGGGCCAGTTGACTGTCCCTCAGACCATTGGAGGGCCGGACTATAGTTTAAAAAAAACTATGAACAAATTCCTATGCACACTGCACATATCTTATTTTGAAGTAAAAAAAAACAAACAGGCAAAATCACCCACATGTGGCCCGTGGGCCATAGTTTGAGGACGCCTGTAATGGATGATCCTACAAATGTGAACTAGAAGACTATAAAACTAATAAAGGTCAAGCTACTCCTGGGAAGTGGACCAGATGCATATGCAATTTGAATGACTTCAATCTTCTGTTTCCAAATGTGTAATCAGCAAAACAGAAAAAAAGCACGTGTGTTTGTGTGTGTGTCTGCCTGTCTGTTTGTTTTCTAAACCTAAGTGGTCAAGTGGCTTTATCTGTTCATTGAAGTAAATGAATATATTGTAGCAAATGAGTGTCTCTCTCTGAAGAAGTCAGATCTCACGATTCACGTGTGCTGGGGGGAGGGATACAGTTAACCAGATGCCTGGACATTTGGCACTTCAGTTCTCTCCTGTGACTTTGGAGGAGTGCCTCCAGGAAGCAGAACCTCAATTTTCAAACTGTATAGTGAAAGCAGACAGCAGTAATTTACCAGTGAGAAGTAGTGGAGGGTGGATCAATTACCTGTGGGGAGGAACACTCAAAAGCTAAATTGTCTGGCCCTGACTTCTTTCACTTTGTAAGCTGACATGAGAGGGCAGCCATTTGTCATCTAGGACAACTGAGCAAAGCATTTCAAAATGAGTGCCCAAATGACATTAAGCAAACTTTAAAAAAAAAAAAAAGGATGCAATGAAAGGGCATTCAGAGAGTGACCAGAATCTATCTTCAAACCTAGAGAGTAAGTGATTCATATAATCAAATATGTACGGAGGAGAGATAAAGGTGTATCTGTTTCCCGTATTATGAGCCTTATTTTAGTGAGAGGTGTTGCAAAGATTGCTACATCCCTCTTTTGGGAAGAATTTCAAGTAAACTATTTGATACTCAAAAGAAGTCGAAGCGCTGAGGAGAGCTTTTGGAATTTAAATAAGATGAAGGTGAATCCTTCTCTTTTAAGATAGAGTCTTCTTGGGAAAGTTCAGTGTGTTTGTTGGGTCTGAATGGGCCCTCTGTGCTAGAACTCAGGTTACTGTGAGTTGTCGATGAACAGTCATAACACAAAGCAGTTCACCACGGCGGATGCAGCTTGCGGTGTGGGCCAGGAAGAAAGAAACATAAAGGCATGAAGGATCAAGGCCCAAGTGTTACTTCCCCGGGAAGTGGACATGAACAAATATTCAGCAACAAATAAAAGGCATTCTGCCTCCCTTGCATATAATTTCTGAGCTTGGATTTCATTCTCTAGAATATTTGATTGAATTAATTCAAAGTGCTCAGAATCCCAAACTGGATTAGTGCAATAGGTTTCTTTCGGGGTGACAATTAGGTTCACCTATTTACTAGCAGCAAAGAAAACTGGATTGCCTTCTATGTGCCTTTAGTAGCCTGGTTCATTGAAAATTAAAACAAAGTTATTAAACCTGTGTTTTTTTAAACTTTAAAGGAGGAAATTTTTAAGTTCATCTACCAAGTACCACTAAGAGGGAGACAAGCTTTTTGGCTACCGGGAGAAACTGTGTACACGTTCTGTGACTTAGCTGACAATTTGAAAGAGGAAAGTAAGTCTGACAAAACTGGTCAAGTTGAACAACCTGCAATAATTTAAGGACTATCCATCAACCCACACATCTTTTAGCAAGTAGTTTGAGAAATAAAGGGAAACAGAGAGAGCAGGAAAGACAATGTTTGCCTATCACTGGGATCTTTTCCAATCCAAATGTTTATAATGTCTAGCATTTGCTTATATAAATCCATGCATGTTTCATTGGCAACATGATACTGTAAAATAAACTATAAAATAGTGGGTGTTATAATTTACAGGATAATTTCATTTCTCTTCCAAGGTCTCTAATGTTTTTATCCTCTGGAAACAGTGGCTCCGAAACAAATTGCAAGGCAGTATGCTCTGATGAAGATACCATGCAAAACAGAGATAGCTCATAAGAAAAGGGAATTTCTGAAAGTGGCTCATATTTTGTGATGGTGAAATTGAAGGAGGAGTCCTAGCCTTCTGAGGGAGAAGCCGATATGACTAGCCTAATAGATCATATGTATTGTTGTTTTCATGCCCTTTAGGGAGAATATTCAGTGATTTGAGAAGGAGCATAAATGGGCCAGTGTCTGCTTCTATTGCAGTTACCTGCTTTCAATCCTAACAGGGACTGACCCTGCCTGGGGGAAACAAAAATAATCTAGGGGGAAATATTTAATCCATCGCAAGCCTGTTTTCAATTCACAAGTAATGTTGAGAGAGAACATATTCAATCACCCTCCCCCCACCTCCCTTTACGTAGGATAGTATATCATCTCTAAACTGCAATTGGAGATCTATTGGTCTGGCAAAATTAGAAGAATGCAAGTTTTTCCAATGACATTCCCCACCACACCCCCAGGTTTCCTGCAGTTGTTGTCAGAGTACAAACCTTCTTCCACACTTTATACAAGTGTTTAGACACTTCGCCAGCAGCCTTGGTTTTCAGAGGGAAAAATAAAAATAGCACTTAATTAAAATGGAGCATGGAACTCAAAAGGTATCAGGGTGTGTGAGTGCTGAGAGTGTTTCATTCCCCACCCATTGTATGGAATTTTGCACCTTAATTCAATATAAAGCCTGCAAATACATACAGTAAAGAGCTGCATCAAGACTTGGGTATCACAGAAGTTACTTGGTGGTCAGACTTGATTTTTACTTTTCCTTTTACACACCAAAAAATGACTTAAAGTGCTCTTGAATATATATATATATATAGCAATGCTGAAGTGTTGGGGTCTTCCTCATTACTTAAGAAACCCTGGTTTAGGCATTTGTAACTAAAATCAATCAGCTAACCAGTCGATCCACACACACAGCCACATGCACGCATACACGCACATTAATACTGAGCAAAAATTGATGCATGCTTGATGACTTATTGTTTGATTATGGGCTTCCAGGAACCAGAAACCAGAGTGAAAGTGAGAAATGGGCTTTTTCTAATAGTTTCCCTGTTGACCCTGAGAGAGAGGCTGATGTGAAAAGATTGGGCATTTCCTCCCTTGGCTCCTGAGAGAGATCTGTTGGCTTCCCCTATTGCCTGAAGGCCCAATCAGCCTTCTCAGGAAGTGAGCCCAAGTCACCTGGAGAGAGAAAAGTTATTGCAAACAATAAAGAGAGAAGAAACAAACAGAAAACACTTTCATCTAATTCGATTTTGCCTTTGATGGAAAAACACCAATAGAGTGTGCATAATATTGCAGTGTATAAATAGCTGTGGAAGCATAACAATAGCTCCATCTATTTCATCATCCATCTGAGCCAAAAAGATGTTTCTTTAACAGCTTTTCTTCCCCCTTCAGTGCTATACATTAAGAGGAGAAGGGAGGGGGAGAAAGACGTTTGCTTCAAGGAGCAGACATTTTCTTTAAAAAAAAAAAAATTATAAGCTTTTAGACCACAAGAAGTATTCCTTTCTTTTCTTCCCTCCAGCCCAAATTTCACATCCCATTATGGAGGCTGGGTGGATGCCTCGTGCTCTGTCAGAGCTGTCAGGTTGTTAAACCAACAGAGGAGCAAATCAGAGTGAAGAAGCAGCCAGAGAGAGACAGAGGGAGAGAGAGAGAGAGGGGGCATTTTCAAAATGGGAACCCTGCAGGTAGAATGTGTACTCTCAAAGCTGCAAAATAATTATTTCCCACAAACATTTCACACCAGTGGTCACCTTCTATTACATTCGGCCTAATTAATCTTTGTTTCAATTAATGCTTTTTGGGGGGAAGGGCAGTTAGGATCTGCAAAAAATAATGTGTCCCAGTTAACAGAAGCAACAAAATAGAAATGAAAACCTTACCTCATTTTAAAAATCAGTCCTACTATTTCTAATTAAGTAAGCAATCGATTGTTCCCAAAGCCATTCTTACATTAGCACCCTGTCTTGTTCACTACAGTGGAAACAAATGTTGGATTATAGAATTTTGGTGCATAGCTGATTGTTTGGGGGGTTTCGAATTTTTTCTTCTTGAAGGTTCTAAAGGGCAAAATCTTCACACTGTAAGTATTAATTAATTCCAATGTATTGTCATGAATACTAAAATTGGTATAATAAAATATACCGAGAATCCAAATTCCTTTATCATTATTATTTAACTAAATAGTTTACATTTGTGTTACTCTGAATAGTAACTAAAATAGAATCTTAAACTTTGAGAGATTGCAAATTACAACTAAAATAATCCTGAAATGAGAATCCAACATTAAAGTATATTTTTTGGCATTTCTCCTAAAATTAAGAATGCAAAGTTAATTTACTCCAGTAAGCCTCCTCTATCCTACTTTAGTCTATCCCTCTGTCACCAATCTCAAAATGGAGTGCAATGTGCAATTACAATTAATTTCCGAGTAACCCTTGGATGCCATTCCATAGAGAAACTGTTGACAGCTTCTGATTTTCTAAGTCTAAACTCAATTTTTTAAAACCTTGATATATGGACTTAATGACATCCAATCATAAGGTTACATATGTAATAATTTATGCACATTTATTATAGAAACCAAGCACTATTTAAGCATTAGTTAGCATTGCTATTAATAACACAATTTAAGAATCTAGCATGTCAACATCTATCTGCAGATGAGGGAGACAGTCAGAAAACTGGATGCAAATGAATATACTGAAAGAATCACTTTATCATTCTCTCACTTGTCTGTTCAATTCACCAAAAATGTTTGAGCAATGCTATTTATTTGTCACTGAGGAGGTTACCTTTTCAGTTCCTTCTTCCTTGAGACTAATAATGTCCAGATCAAAATCCTTCCGCAAGCCATTGGTTTTATTGAAGGTGATACGCCCAGTCAAGCCATCCCACCGAGCCTGTGGACAAAAAGGAATGGGCTGTTGTTACTGTTGAACACTTACCATGATCCTAAAACCATCAAAATTGTAATACCTCGAATTCATCACAGTATCCAATTATTCGGTTTCGTCACGCTGTTATAAACCATTGCATTGGTTCAGTGATTCAACAGCAAAATACTCCTCCATTTTATTAGTACTCATTTATTTTGTCAGTTCTAAAATCTTAACACCAGTCAAACCTGTAATAGTGGCGACCTAAATGGACGGTACAGAAAGAATTACTGGAAAATCGTCTGCACAGGGAGTAAACAAAGCCTGGGGAGCTCATCATGTTCTGTTTTTCAAGGTCAATCCACATTTTCTTCAAGGCATTGCTGAGGGGAATTGTACCCCTCCATTGTGTTTTTCCATGAAGAGGATATAGTCCAATGATGTGTTATCAAATATTTAGTGTTTTTATGATTTAGGCCTTTTAATGTCATTTGGGTGTTGTGATTTCCTAAGGCTGCTGTAGCAGGTAATCCACAAACTTGGTGGCTTATAACAACTGAAATCTATTCTCTCACAGTCCTGGAGGCCAGAATCCAAAATCAGGATCACTGGGTGAAATCAAAGTGGCCGCAGGGCCGCCATGCTCTCTCTGGAGGGTCTAGGAGAGACTCTGTTCTTTGTCGCTTTCTGTGTCTGGTGGCCTTCAGCACTCCTGCTCCTTGTCTTGTGGTTGAATCACTCTAATCTCTGCCTCTGTGGTGACACTGCCTCTTCCTCTTCTGTCTGTATGAAATTGCCCTCTGTTTTTCTCTCATGAGGAACTTACGATTCCATTGAGAGCTCACCTGGCTAAACCAGGATAATCTCCCCATCTCAAAAATCCTTAATTTAATCAGACATCAAAGTCCTTTTTGCCATATAAGGTAACATTTAGAGCAGGCATCCTCAAACTACGGCCCGAGGGTCACATGCAGGCTGCCTAGCACATTTATCTGGCCCTCCGGGTGTTTTTGCCACTGCTGCCTGTCCTGCTTAGCAGCCGACTTGTCCGGGCCCACAGTGTGCACTCTCCAATGGTTTGAGGGACAGTGAACTGGCCCCCTGTTTAAAAAGTTTGAGGGCCCCTGATTTAGAGGTTCCAGGGATTAGGACAGGGATCTCTTTTCAGGGGGTTATTGTTCTGCCTACCACATACATCAATATCATTTAAAAAAATAAAAATCACAGTAGTTAGCTCTTTGCAGAACTCATATTGGATATCTTTGGTGGATTTTATTAAATAAAAAATAATGTCCCTTGAGGGTGTTAAGCTTCAATCGTGAGGTGGTTTTTGGTAACCTTGTTTATTTGAGTTTCACTTACAAAGAGGATAAAGGAGAACTCAGATCTTTGCATATGCTCAGCGGTTTCTCTCCCTCCTGACTTTATCAAATTTGTCAGACATGTATAAAATGTGAAGATCCTAAAGAATTATACTATATTTGCAGTTATTTGTACCACATGCACCCATTGAGTGGGTACATTTGGCCAGGAGGCAGAGAAATGCAGTGGCAAGAGCACAGAGTTTTCCATAGAGCTGAGTTTGATTGTCTGAAGTGTGACTTCAGGCAAGACACTTAACCTGAGCCTGGGCCATCTTAGATTTCAGTGTTTGCTCCATGAAGAATATTTCTGAGAATTAAATGGCACTTAATTCTTAACACATAGAAAGCATTTTAACTTTTAACAATCATTATTTTTACAAATCTTACTTTCTTTCTCCAGTTTTGTAAGTCTAGAGTTTGAATGTTAGTACCTTACACATCAGTACCCAGGTGTCTACTTCTTACTGGCCTATACTGCATTTCATTTTACAACTCACTGTCAGATTGATGGTCTCAAAATACAATTTTCACATTCATGCAATTTCTCCCAGCACATAAAGTACATAATGGATTCACGCAAATTAGTGTAAAAGTCTAGTTACACATTATTTTTGGGTGCATCTGTGAGGGTGTTTTCAGAAGAGGTGAGCATTTAAGTTGGCAGGATGAGTAAAGTGGATGGCCCTTTCCAATGCGGGTTAGCATCATCTAATCCATTGAGCTTGAACAGAATAAAAAGGCAGAGAAAGGACAAATTTGCTCTCTGCCCGACTGTTGGAGCTGAAACATCAGTCTCCTAGTCTCGACCTGAGATTTACATCATTGGTGCTCATGGCTTTCAGGCCTCTGAACTCAGACTAGAAGTACACCACCAGCTTGCAGATGGAAGATTGCAAGGTCTCCAGCTTGCAGATGGAAGATTGTGGGGACTTCTCAGCCTCCATGATTGTGAGCCAATTTCTCATAGTAAATCTCTTTGTATATATTTCCTACTGCTCTGTTTCTCTGGAGAATATCAAATAATGCAGAAGTCTTTCAAAATTTTGCCTAATCTACTTCTCCAGAATTATCCACTAATGCTTTTCTATGCACAGCCCCAACTGGAACATTCCTGGGCTCTCTAGCCTCTGTGCACTTGTTCATCACATCCTGCATCCTCCACACAGCCTTCCCATCCCCATCCATCCTTTAAGATTTGATTATTGTGCTATTTTGGTCCAGGGTCACAGTCCTCCCCTTTGATGCACAGGGCTCTCAGCCTATACGGTGCTCTGACCAGTATTGCTTTGTGTTTTCACGTGTAGTTTTATAATCATTACCAGTTATCTTTACACTTTTCAGTTTTGAATTGCTAATATCCTCAAATGGATTGGAAGCTTGACAATCAAACCCTATTCTCTTACTAAATTGTATTCTCTTTAGAACCTAACAAGATGACATAGCCCTTAGGCACTTTTAATTTTTTCTTGCTTTAATTTGTTCCAAAACAAAAATTCTATTAATTTATATATTTCATTTTTATGTGTTTTTTCAATGATCGCTCTTTTTTTTTTTTTTTTGAGACAGAGTCTCGCTTTGTTGCCCAGACTAGAGTGAGTGCCGTGGCATCAGCCTAGCTCACAGCAACCTGAAACTCCTGGGCTCAGGCGATCCTCCTGCCTCAGCCTCCAGAGTAGCTGGGACTACAGGCATGCGCCACCATGCCCGGCTAATTTTTTCTATATATATTAGTTGGCCAATTAATTTGTTTCTATTTATAGTAGAGACGGGGTCTCGCTCTTGCTCAGGCTGGTTTCGAACTCCTGACTTCGAGCAATCTGCCCACCTCAGCCTCCCAGAGTGCTAGGATTACAGGCGTGAGCCACCGCGCGCGGCCTCTTTCTTTTTTTTCAACTTGCAATTCTTCAACTCATAATCTCACACATATGGTGAAAATATCCTTGATTGGGAGTCACGAAACTGAGTTTAGTCTTTAAGCTACTATCAAGTTGTGTGGCTTTTGTTGAGTAAGTTTACTGTTTTTTCAGGCCAGAGAAGAGAGTATATTAAGCGAGAGTTTTGTATAAAATGAGTTTTAATTCTGGAATTCTGCTACCACAGGGGAGATACCAAAAAGGGGTTTCATGTTGATAGTCATTTGTTAAACACCTATGATCTGCAAGTGAGACTATATAAAGCATAAAACATAGTTGCCATCCTCAGGTTTTAATGTAAAACATATTGCTATCTGGCTGGGGAGAAAAGACTACAGAGTTTTGTTCATTTATTTCTTTCACTATTAATTCACTTAGAAAAAAAATCACTTAATGAGTATCTTTCTGTGCAAGAAGCTATGCTGGAAATACCGCACCTAGCAGTTTGCAATTTAGTAGGAACCAACACATTGATGCATTTCAATAAAGTACTGTAGGGGTGAGGATGAAGATTTGCACAAAGTAATGAAGAAAGAATGGAGAAGAAGTTCCAGGGAAAGAAGAACTCATCAAAACATTTCTGAAGGCAAGAATGTGTAAACTCTCAAAGGATGAGAAGTTGGCCAGCAAAGATTCACAGCCTGGGTAAAAGCACAAAATAAAGAATAAATTGTCAGTTTGCCATGGGTCTGTAATACAAGGTAAGAGATAATGAGAAATGACCCTGGGAAGGAAAAGTTGATAGGTGCCTGTTTATAAAGGTGTTATGAATCATGCTAGTTTGCTTGCCCATTGCTCTGTAGATGTTTGGGAATCATAGAAGTGTTTTAAGCATAGGAATGTCATGGTCAGATGTACATTACAGGGAGGTCGTTTTAGCAGAATTGGGGAAGATGACTTGGAGAAAGTCAAGGTTGTAAGCAGGGCTTTGGTTAGCAGGTAGTTCACATAGAACAAAATGTATGGAATCATATTCATATGCCCACATGTGAACATAGGGATGGCCCAATTCCTTCATCTCCCTGTCCTACCAACTTGCACACCTTTGAATATTAATGGAAATTGTGCAGTGACATCATCACTGCAATCTCAAACTCCTGGGCTCAAGCTGTCCTCCTGCCTCAGCCTCCTGAGTAGCTGGGGCTACAGGCGTGGGCCATCACACTCAGCTAATTTTTCTAATTTTTATAGAGATAGCATCTTGCTGTGTTCCTCAGACTGGTCTCAAACTCCTGGCCTCAAGCAACCGCTGGCCTCAGCTTCCCAAAGTGCTAAGATTTCAGGTATGAGCCACTGCATTTGGCCCAGAAGTACATTTTATCACTTGATAATGGCTAGTAGTAAAATTAATGTCAGGAAATGAAATGCAGACAGGAAAAGGCTCTAACTCTCTCTTCTAAGCATTCTACATGGCAAAGTAGATGGGAGTAGCTCAAGTGCTATAGCACATAAAAGAAAATGCTTCTTCAGATCCTTGGACCTAGTCTCCAGAGTTTATTATCAAGGGAGATCATAGCACCAAACACTAGCACTAGCTTTAAAAATGAGACGGGATATAATTATGGTCAATAGTAACACTGATTTTACACTGGCTAAGATATAGGTAATCATGTCTCTGCAACAAGACAAAAATAACCAGCAAAGAATGAAAGCAGAGAGCATCCTCTTGTGTGTGCACCTCCCAGCATTGCATTCTCCTTTTCCTCCCCATCACTTCCCAGTTCTACTTTTTGGACTCTGGTCACCC